TTTCAGTAACATTTAAGTAATTAATTTTATTTGATTAACCGTATTAACGTTAATAATTTATTATATATTACTTTTTACTCCAAGATTTATTAAAAAAAACTTTAAAACAAAATAATCTTTATAAAAATTTGGTTCAATATTCCAGTCAAATATTTTGAAAAATATAATTAAAATTTACAAATTTAAGCTTGACATAAATTGTTTCAAAAATTGGTTCGTAATTTTGCAAATGAAACTTATTTTAGCTAATTAATGTTTATTTTAGTTTAAAAACTCGGTACTCGGATGTTTTTCTTATTAAATCCATATTTACTTTGCTGATAAAAAAAAACTCTTCTATAAATACTTATTAAATAATCTGATATTAAAAAAATCATTTATCAAAAATTAATAAAGGTCACTATTAATTATTATATTAACAAACCCTATCAGTGCGGAAAAATAAACAATCTTCCTTAATTATTATTAAATAAAAGAAAAACTTATTCTGATCCTTTTAGTATTCGTAATATTTAGTTTGGCCCTTCTTCCTAACAAAGATAAGGATTAAAAAAAGTTATTAGCGAGGGAAAGTGTTGAGTGTGTCTGGTCCGGGCGCATGGCCGTCTCGTCTTCCTTTCGGCTTTTAAACTTTTTCCGTAATATCAAAAATTTGAATTTAACCGCTAATTATACGATCGTCCTGGTCTGGCTCGGTGGTGGGACGTTCACAGCCACGACGTTAAAATATTCATCGTCTTGGTAACTGGAAACTTTTCCCACTCTGGCGAACCGCGAAAATTTATTATACTTTTCTCATCTTCTTTTATGGATGATGCCTATACTTTACTTTACTTATTTTTATTTTTATTTTCATTTTCATTGTTATTATTATTTTACCGGTCCTCGGTGGCAAGGGCATTCAATTTATCGAATTACCCCTAATTCGCTGAATAAAATATACTTTTAAGTGTAAATAAAAAATCAACAGACCAGGAGAATATTTTTTAATAAATTTATCTATATTTATGTCTATGTCTAGTCATATTATCTTTATCTATATTTAAACAAGAAGAACTTTATGTAGTATTGTATATCGTATAGGGTTAGGGTTGAAGTTGAGTATAGCTTCACGTACGGTTGTAAGCTCAACAATGGGTATTGTATAGACGCCATAAGCAGGCACCGAATACGACAGCCCAGTACCCACAACGGCATTGTCAAAGTGTCAGGGTCTGCCTTGCTTTATTCGCCAAATCGTGTTCACTTAGCCTGGTCATCTCTTCCCGTCCTATCATAAATACCGTGTTATTCTAAGAACACAACAACTATATTCACTTCATTGTTGTTATCTTCATCATTATCATCATCATCGTCATCCATACAGTAAAAAATTTTGCGTTATTGCGTAAAAAAAATTTTTGTTAAAAAATTTTGTGTTACACTGTAAAAAAAGCGGTATTAAAATGGACTTATTTTAACACCGCTACGTAACACCTGTGTATTAACACCGGTGTAGCAGTGTTCTATTGCGGTGTAATATCGGTGTAATATTTGTGAATATAGATATTAGGGTGTGCCAAAATGTATTTTCCTTGGGGGACATCCATTAATTACGTGAGCTCAGAATGAGGGGGGAGGGGTCCAATGAAATCTCACCAAATCTCATCTAAGCCGAGGGGGGGGATAATCAAAAATCTCACCTCAACTTCAAAAAATATAAAATATTACAGACATTAAAAAAAAAATTATTTTGAGTGTTTATTTTGCCCGCTAAAACAAATTTTATGTCTATTAAAATCATTTACGCTGATGATTTAATCAAGCTCTTCTCAGAGCTAATGGTGGATTTCTTTAACATTATAATTATAATATAAATTATAATATGTATGTATAAAAAAAGTACATGAGTCTCCATGGATTGAGTAAAATTAAAAAAAGTGTTGTTTTTATGTTTTTTTTGCTTTGAATTTTATTTAATTTAAATAAATTAACTATAGTATACTTGAATGGTTTATTATTCTCCCGAATAATAAAAATAATTTTAATTTAAAATATTTTTAGCGTCAATCTCACGTAAGGGGAGGGGGGGGGATCCAGACAAATCTCACTAAATCTCACCTAAGGGGGGGGGGGGGGGAGGAGTCTAAACTGATTGAAAAATAGCTCACGTAATTAATGGATGTCTCCTTGATGGAGCTTTTAAAATTGGAATTTTGAGTTCCGCTTTTAACAGGAGTTGTGTTTGGGCATTTCCTGTCATATTTTGAGCGTAAAGGATTTATTTGATTTTTATAGAACTTTTTAACAGGAATTTTGTTCAGCTAAATTTTGAAATTTTGAAATTCCAGCAAAAATGGCCGAACGAAACTCCTGATAAAAAATTCTATAGAAATTAAATAAATCCTTTACATCCAAAATTTGTCAGGAAATGCTCAAACACAACTCCTGTTAAAAGCGGAATTCAAAATTCCAATTTTAAGAGGTCCATGAAGGAAGTTACATTTTGGCACACCCTAATAGATATACAAATACATGGGGTGATCATATACTGGGGCTTTTACCTTACTAGGACTTAAAAAAAATTGAAGTATACAATGACGCACACCAAGGACGTTCCAAAATTGCTTCTTTTAATTTTTAAATTTACAAAAAAATTTTTTTTAATTTCCGAAAATCATATACAACCATATAGGTTACTTGGATTTTTTAATTTTTTATTTTATATCTTTTTGTAAAGAAATAAAACTTTTTTTTCTTAATAGTCTTATGAACGTTGACTTGGCGCGAGTTTTTTTTACAGTGAAACTGTTTTTGTTCGGATTTCAGTAATTTTTGTAATTATAATAAAAATTGACAATTTTAATTCAATACATTTCCGGTGGCAAACTATCACCTGTAAGCTATAGTTCATGTAAAAGTTATTCTTGCGCCGCCTGGCGTGTGTAATTGCAAGCTGTCAAATATCTTTTTTTCACTGTAGTTTCTCATCTATTATAAGATTAGCATGCACCCTTATATTATTTAGTCTCTGGCCGTCCACTTTTTACATAAGAAAAAAGTTAAAATCTAAAAATCTGGGTCGCTATAGTTTGTGCTGATTATTTTCAATAATTTTAAATAGAAATTATAAAGATAATTGATAATAATCAAGTAATACGCGTAATAAAAAGCATGAACTACTATTATAAAATATCATATAAAAAAAAAATCAAATTAAATTTGAAAAAAAATTTGTAACCTCAAAAAACCGTTCTGCTTACGATATATACACACTCGGTACTCTGGCTTGAGAACGGAACTTGGCGCCAGATTCTACCGAATCTGTTGATAATTGAGTTATACACTGTTAAAAATTTCTATTGTAATTTTACAAGAAATGTATTGGAAGCTAATAGGCAAAACATTTATTTAAAATTACAATCGGGTATAGTAAAATTACAAAACATATACAGCTCAGTGAGGTTACTAATTTTACAAAACGGTTTTGTAATTTTACAAATATTTTTAGATTAGCTAAGTTTGTAAAATTACAATACTTTCCTTGAATTTTACTTGAATTGAAATAATAAAAAAGAAAGATTTGATTTAATATCTGTTGTCATTTTATTGTTATGAAGCGCTGACTTGATTTTGTATCTCAGGTAGACCTAATTTGTTCAACTCAGATGATTTAAAGTGAAAATAATATATACCCTAACTAAGAATCGAACGCGAGCCGCGCGCTTGCCAGACCGATACCTAACGCCCTACGCCGTACGACCGATAGGTGATTCAACATCTTATTATTCTTATAAACTAATCCTATGTGGTGATTAAGCATTACGGCTTATTATTTATAATCTACATTATTTGTGTTATTTTATGCTGTTTATTGATGGAAAAGTCTAACATATACTCATTCAAATATATTGATTTCGAAATGATCGTTTGAACATAATATTAAAATTTATAAAAGATAAATTATGCCTCGAATTTATTATTTCAAATAAACAACCATAGACTAAAAATTAGTGAAAAATTAAAAAGCTTTTTTTGAAAATTGACGAACAGTTCTGTAATATTACAATGCGTGTTGGGTTTATACAAGAAGATTGTAAAATTACAATACATCTTAGTAGATTTCCTGATAGGTGTTGGAAAATTACATGAGTTGTATTTTATTTCGCATTGCTATACACTGATTTGTAATTTTACATATCATTTGTTTTGTAATATGATTGTAATTTTACAAAAATTTTTAACAGTGTAGTTAATATACTAGCTATAAATCATCTTGTTATACATCATAAAATTTTTATGTATTAAACATTGTAATTATTAATCCTGTTAATGGCCTGTACTGTTGGGTTCGTTTAATTAAATAAATTAAAATAAAATATATTTTTGGTATTGGAGATGAATTATAATGCTAATTATCAAAACAATACTCTGATTATTGATCTTAAATACTAAAAATGTTTAAACTATATTGCAAACTATTTAATTATATTAAAACAAGCCTTTCATTATGCGACTTTACTAAAATATTTTACAAAAAAAGTACTTGAATAATTATCAACAAGAAAACTTATAGAATAAATTGGATGTTTTTGTATCTATCACAGTTATCCCGCAGCTAGTTTGTATTGCCCGCGGGTCCTTGACTTGACAAACTACCTTAAAAGTTTTGGGTTCGAATCTCGCCGTTGGATATTTGTCCTTTTTTTTTTTATTTTTTTTATTTTAGAATTGTTTTCAAATGCAATTCGGGCTAAAATAAACACTCATTTTTTTATTCCAAGAACAAAAAAAAATTTCACGACATGTAAAACTTTCCGATCGTTCGATAAGTTGATAAGTAAAATGAGCTCATTAACAAAGACTAACGATAATTAAATTTATAAGAACAGATAACAATTGATGAACGATAAAGAAAAGAAAAATTGAGTATATAAGTGACGGCTCGAGCTACGGAAAGTCATAAACAAACTTTAAGAATAACTCAGAATAATTAGAAGAAGTGAAGTGACAAAAAAAAAATGAAGGGTGAGTTTCTTCCAATTTATTGGTCACTTATTACTTATTTTTTATCGCAAAACTTATTGCTGCATTGAATTAAAAGCTTGAAACTTAAATTGGCGTAAAATGTTTAACTAACACTAACAGTTGGTGGTTTTTGTTTTTTCAGTGATAATTGCTGTATTTATTGTTGGATTGATCGGAACGGTAAATTGCCTGAACCGAAATCCGTTGATAAGAGCTACGGAGGAAACTCCTAAACCAACTACTACAACTACTACTAGCTCAACCCCAAAGCCACTGGTTGACTGCGATGTTCTGACCGATAACAAAGACGAGTTAATCCTGTTGCCCAATCCCGTGAATTGCAAGAGTTACTACGTCTGCGTTGGATTAGATCCGATTTTAATGCCTTGCCCTGATGGTCTTCACTTCAATCCTAAATTGAAAGTCTGCGATTGGCCCAATCTTGCTAACTGCATTTCTCAGTTTAATATTTGTTGACGGTTATTCAGTTATGTTTTGCTTAATATTTACTATTTACTGTTTCTATTTACTATTTACTGTTTCTATTTACTATTTAAATGTATTTAACATTACCATGAGCAATAAAAATCTTTAGAGTTAAGTTTTGTTCTTCAGAATTTCAAACTACCGCCATCTATCATCATATCAGTGACTTAAATCAATAAACTGCACTTCATCGCTTCGCGACTTCTTTAAAGCGTAATTAAGACGTTTAAGGTTAAAATAATTTTTATTAATTTTTTTTGGGATTTTAGAAAGTGAACCAAGATAAAAAATGGGGAATTAGATGTATTGATGCAGAAAAAAAATGACTAAAATAATTGATTTACATTTTTATTGACGGCTATCTTTGCTAAATTAGAAAAAAAAATGTAGTTTTTTATCAACAGGTGTTTTTAAACAAAAAAAAAAATTATTTGATTCAGTAAAAAATATTGGGTTGAAAATTTCACTCTTGCTTCGAGAAATTAAGTTTGAATTTATTCGAGAAATTCATAAACAGAATTAACAAAATAAAATTCAAATTGATTTAATAAATTTAGATTTTTAAGAAAAAAAAAAACTGACGACGGGATTCGAACCCTGATCTCTCCGCGTGGTATATTAGCGGTTTTCTCTCTACTCCACTGTAAAAAATTGAGGTAGCTCTTTTTTACAAACAATTTTTTTCGAAAATTTCTATAAAATACTCTTTTTTCACCGGTGAGAAAATAAATTAGAAATTCAATTGCTACGTCCTTCAAAAATTTAATAGTATTTTTCAATTGCATTTTACTCTTATAATATTATCTTGATCTTAAAGATTTCGAATTTCTCTTCGCCAAGAAAACGAGTTTAAAGACAAGAAATTATTGAATCAAGAAAAATAAATTTGCTCTTGGATCAACAATATTTCTCTTGGACCATGTAATTTTTTTTCGATGTGTTACAAACTGGTTAATAAAACTAAACCCTGAATTTTTTCTGCAGACTGTACAGAAGTATATGAAATAAAAAAAAATCAATTAACCAGAGTATTTTATTTAGAAACCATTGAAAAAAAATTTAATTAAATTTTAGTGGAGTTGATTGTGAGGTTAGTTTTTTAAAAATAAATCAATGAACGATGGAGAAGTAAAGAGATGTCAATAAATAATATATAACCCAGGAAAAGGAATATTTAATGAAAAAAAGACGGGAGCTTTGATGAAAAGAAATAAATGAACAGAGCTGGATAAAATTTTATCAGAGAAGAGGCAACACTTAAATTGGTTATTTCGTTTGCCTCAATATTGCTGTACCTTGAGTCTTGCATTTGTTGCATCGATACCGTCACACTTTTCACTCTCCTTCTTCTTCTGGTTCCTCTTTTTCCCTCGTAAAGCCGCTTAATGTCGCATTCTTGGGGGTAAATGGAACGGGGGAAGAGAAAATAACGGCACCCCGTGAAAAACGTATCGAACTTGTTATCAAGGCGCAAGTCACTCACTTTTTTCAATTTTCTCCTTTTCTTTTATTTTTTTAGTATCTTTTTTCGATTCCTTGTCTTTTCACTTGTCGCTCTCTTTCATCCTCACTCTTATTTTTTTTTTTTTTTTTATTTTTTTCCAATTTAATTCCGCCTTGCTCCGTATAATACCAGATCTCTGTACTCGGTACTCTTATTTATCTTTTTTCATGTGAATCGTCTAGTCCGAGTGTTGCTCGCCAGCAGCAGTAACACGTGGAACATTTTTCGTCCGATGGGCAGCTGAACGAATACTCGGCGCTTTCTCAGAGTTAGATCCGATCGGAAAATGTTAATGGTATTTCATTTTGTGCCAAATTGAAAACTTATTGGAATTTACTCTTCATCAACCTACATATAAAAAATCTTTACTTACTTTTTATCATTCAAATACTCTTTAACATTTTCTCAAAAGTATTATATATTTTTTTTTATAGAAAGTATTAAGTAGGAAAATCAAAAGTTTTTTGACTTTCCGCATTGAAAATGAAAAATTTTCAAAAATAGGGAAATTGTTTGTTTTAAAAAATTTTGTCGACTTGTTTTTTTTTGCGTAAATATATGCGACATATATATTTTTCTATGCGAGTAAAATTTTGTCGTTTAATATTTATAAAATATTAAACAAATGGAAACTTCTGTATAGCTTTTGAATTCTTCGAGAAATTGACTTAAGAATGTTGTTAAGAAAATTAAAATCGAAGGACAGGTTTAAAAGATATCTTAGCTAAAAGATATTCTAATAATAGCTCTTTAGAAATAATTCTTAATCAAAAATAAACTTATTGGTAAACTTTTAAGTTCTTTGATCAACTAAAAAATTGTGAAAGTTTCAGGATAGTAAAGACACTCTTTAAGATATTTTTTTAGTCTATAAAAAGATAATATTTTTGATCAGAAGCTTAACATTTAGAAATTAAATGAAATTATTAAAAAAAAATTCCAATAGGTGAATAAAAGCCAACAATATTAATGAAAAAATTCGGTAAAAAAATGTTTATTAAAGAAAAAATGGGACTTGGTATTCTGGGCGAAAAATTAATAATCCGCGCCCTGTGATCACGTGCGTGCGATGTGTAATTAAATAAATTTATTAACCGTCAATAAATAGAGTTACATATGCGGAGAATTTTTTGGGCACTTGTCCTAACAGTAAAAAAATATTGAGGGCTAGTGTGTAACTATAGGACATTGTGAAGGCAATGAGCGAATCAGTCAAGCTTAAACTATTCCACATACCTGGGCAGCGGACACACAGAAACGTAGCGGTGGATAAATAGATATAGGCTTGTACATATAGAGATGTATATGATGTATATGGATGGATGTAGTACATGGGTAATGTAGAATAGACACACGGATAAACACACACAAACTTACTGGGAACATTGTCGAGACTCGAGACGCGTCCAACTCAGCGCGTAATGAACTTGTGAATATTTAGTGGAGTAATTGGCCACCACAGAGTAAAACGGCTACTCGACTAATTGGCATTCCCTATATGTACAGCCCGAAAAATCGTAAATGACAAAAACGTATAAGTCATATTATATATAGGTACATACATACATACATATAGATGTTTTCAATTTCAATTTAATTAATTAATTTGACTAATTAATTTTAAATGGATGAGTTGATTGCTTTTTTGGTTTATTTTTCATTAAAACCTAGAAGAAATATATGCTGAAGATAAAAAAAAAATTGATTCAAGATAATATTTAAGAGAATATTACCAGAGTGAGATATAATCAAATTTAACATTCAAACACATTATTGCATTTGAAGGACATAACTATTGGATTTCCAATTTATTTTTTCAACGGTAAAGAGAGTGTATTTTATAGAAATTTTCTAAAATAAAATTTTTTGAGAAAGAGCTACCTCAATTTTTTGCATTGGTGCAGAGAGAAAATCGTTAATTTGACAAGCAAAAGGTCAGGGTTCGAATCCCGTCATCGGATTAATTTTAAGTTCATCTAAATTTTATTTTTCAATTTTAAAATTCTTTAAGGGGGTATTCTGGTTTAGAAGCATGAAATTTCAGATAATTTTTGAACTGCCGTAAAAAAAAGTCAATCAATATTTTTACGATCTATTTTTTTATAAGTTATTTATTAACATTATAGGAATACATAAAAAAATAAAAAAAGTTGAAAATTCAAACAATTAACAACTGATGAAGTAGGGGGGAGGGTTTCAAAAAATTGGCACGTGAATATACCTACGATTCCAACCCTCATAGCAATCGGAAACAAGAAAATAAATTTTCAACTTTTTTTATTTTTTCAATTTTTTCTGTATTCTTATAATATATATTTTTTTTTTTGGAACTTACGCGTCAGCCTTTTTTGGCCTAGACACGTGAGATTTTGAATCTCTCCTTATTTTGACTATTTACACTCTCGTTATTCTTATAATATTAATAAATAACATAAAATAATGGATGATAAAAATATTAATTGCCTTTTTTTTACGGCACTTCAAAAATTACCTGAAATTTCATGCTTCTAGACCAGAATACCCTTAATATAAAAACCAAAAATGTTTTTGATTCTATTCATGAATTTCTCGAATTAATTGAAACCTTTTACCTCAAAATTTTTCTTCAACCAATTACTTCTTTTTTTTCAGCGTAAGCTTTCAAAGGAAGCTACCAAGTACCTCATTTGACTAATGAGTTATTAATAACCGTCGATATAATTCGGTATCAGATATACTTGAGCGGAGATAAAATGAATCATCACGTGGGTGTTATCAAGACATTAATCGTCCGAAGTGGATCGCTTATTGACCGATAATCGGTCCGGTATCATATAATATGTTTACATATATATATATATATATATATATATATATATATATATATATATATATATATATATATATTTAATGCGATGAAAGTTATTTTTAGAACTATCAATGCTAGCAAGTGGCTATTATTTATCCTCTATTGTACTTTATTGGGTATAATTAGCAATTATTAATAGCGGAGGAAAGCTGGAGCTGGAGAGACTTATAATGGAGGATCGAGCGATCGCGTATTGGTTCGGTTATCCTCGCAATGGATATGCTCTCGACGGGTGGCTCGGTGCGAACCTGGACGAGGCACTTGGTGAATTTATGTACCAGGAGTAGAGTAGATAGCAGGCAATATAAATGAGATTTTAAGTACTGTAGGCTGTAGGTAGACCCTGGTGATGCTGATGATTATTTTTTTTGCTATAGTTATAGTTATGTAGTGAGGTCTTTTTTGGTCGCGATCAGGGGGCCGATAAATTCCGATCGATGAGTTATGACCGAAATGCTCTCGTGATACATATTATATAATGTGGTATGTGTGTGAGGGTGAGTATATACTGTGTAAATATTATATATATTTAATATTTTATATAAATACAGATAGGTGTGTGGAAAAAGGTATAAATAAAAGACAAGCGCAGTAAATTTGAAGAAGAACTGCTAAACGAAAATGCCAGTTGGCGAATGC